TGAGGCCGAAGTTTGTGAAGGAGGCGCGGGATGTGTGGGGTGCTGTGCGCGTCCGGGCAGAGGTATTGCTCATCTCGATGTACGGCATGGTTGCGGTTGTGGTTGTGGTGGTGTTCGTGGTTGCGGGGCTTGTATGAGTTGTGAAAACAGTGATGTTTGTAGCAGCCGCGGTCTCTGTATAGACAGTTCTAGTGGTTCTGGTATAGGTGGTGGTAAAGGTAGTGGTAGTGGTTCTGGTAGTAGTATATGACATGGTAACCTCTCTTGCGGCAGTTGGAAACTTTTCAGAAGACAGGTCCTGCAGTGTATTCCTACAAAAGATACTCCAAGAGGAAGAAAAAGATCCTCCACCCTTTTATTACACCTATTTTGGCACTAGAATGTGCGAGCTCTGTTACAACTGTGGTTCGCTTGACCCAAGAAATGAATACATTAGCGAATCACAAGGGGTCAGATACAAACGACATCTCCAAAACATGGCTGCCTCAACGGAGATATGATTAAACTGTATTTCAGAAACATGACACTGGCTACCTGAGCTTTTTCGCATGCGCAACCAGACTCTCGATGACTTGCTCAAAGGCATCCTTGTCGCCTAGTGCACTTTCTAACCTCTTCTGCCAGTACTCGAACACCTCCTTTGCTCTTTCTTGCAGGCCCTTTAGGTGGTCGATGTGCATCTTCAATTCTTCGTCTGTCAGCCCTTGCAGTGCTGCATCTGTTGTGGCGCAAAGCTGCATGGTACTGCTGATGTCCAGTTCGGGTGGTGGTGGCGGTCCTTTGCGTTTCCGCTCTGGTTTTGAACTTGATGAGTCAACTGAAGTGGATGACTCGTTCTCGCGCTTGATGCGTCCTAGGGGACCACCGTTATTTCGACCGTCTGAAGAGGGCCGCGGTGAGCCGCCGGGTATGTGTATAGAAGGGAGGATGAGCTTCTTTTGTTTTGATGCAGGGAGGATCTCGTCAAGGTCGACGGGTACACCTAGGGATACCAAGAACAGCCGCCGTATGCGCGAGCGGACCCAGTCGGGAGGTTGTAGTGGCGGCGGTGCGACTAGTTGTGTCCATAATGAATGACTCCGTTCTGAGAGGAATATGGACCGCGTTTCCTCGGGATTGGTGGATATTGTGGGTATGCCGTCCTGTGCAGGGTACATGTCATCAAGGTATGGCTGTGTTGCTGAGACGATATCTTCAAGTGATGTGAGTTGGTCAAAGTCTAAGACGGGCTGTAGAAGGAGAGGTTAGTCAGATTGTCACCAAGGCAAGCGGACAAGGCAGTAGTATATGTGGACTAGAATTGCTGCGACTTACAGGACCTGGCGAGGGGACAGGTACAGGAGGCTGTTCTGGGGGCTTATCAAATGATGTCTCTGCATCGTCCTCGCCTTGCTGAAACCCATCGTCAAAGTCCCCAAAATCATCGTCACCCTCTTCGCCTTCTTCGAAATCGTCGAAATCGCCAAAACCATCGTCGTCACCGTCGGCGTTGCCAAAGTCGTCGTCTTGCTCGATCGAGGCGTCGGCGTCGGCTTCGGCAAGTGTTTCAGGTGCGGCTTCGGTTGCGCCGTCACTCGGGCTTATTGGGGACCTGTCATGCGAGGTTGGTGACCCTTCTTCCGTCAATGGTACGCAGGAGGCACCAAGGAAATGCCCTACGTACCTGGATTGCTGCTCTGGGAAGGCTCCTCCGGTGCTCTGACAACCACGTCAGGCGTAGCATCGGCCAGACGTTGCTGGTGGGCAAGTGTACCGGGGACATCGCCGTAGCTGGGCTGGTCGGGGTCGATCTTCTCGACAATTGTCTTGGGCACTGGCGTTCCTCCTGGTGTCAGAGGCCTGTCGCTTGCGCTGACGCGCGAGGCACTGCGACTTCGTGCGCCTTCTGGGACAATCTCAACCTCGTCGGGGACAGCGTCTTGGGTGCGCATGTTGTATGCGTCTGTTCCGGGAACTTCGCCGTGGGCTGGCTCGTCGTCGACTCGCTCAACTCGTGTGATGGGAATGGGCGAGGTCATGTCCGACCGCGCAGGCTGGCCTTCGGTAGCATCGGAGAAGTGCTCGTCACTTGAGTCGGCTGTGTGATGTTAGAATGAACACACCGTATTAGCAAGACGACATACCCAGCTCTTTCGCGCCGGGGTCTTCCAGCTCTAGGCTCTTGCGGGGTGGTGCTAGCTCGTCCGGCATGTCAGGCAATTGATGTTGCTATACTTGACGGGGTGTGTGTTGTGGGAGAAGTCGTGAGACTTGGGTCACTGTTATACCTAGGTAGAGGCGGAGGAGAAGTGATCTGCGAAGGCGACAGACTGCGCCTCGTTGCTTGAGCGTGTCGTCGTTCAGGCACGCTCGATTAGCGGGGACGAGCGGTCTGGACGCTCCAGCAGCGGGAAGGTGGGAACAACAATTCACCGGAGCTAAGCCCTGACCCTTGCACCTGTTTGTCTAACTTTTGGGCGCGACGTCGATGCGCGTGAGGAGAATACACGACTACGCGCAATTCTTTGACCTCGTCCATTAGCGGACCGACCATTGCATCCCCGGGCGCGACACGACTAGACTTTCGCGCGTTCTCGATATCTCGCCGACCAAAACAGCTCCATCACCCATCAACAACAAACACCAGAGCTATCCTCCACACCCGCCATCATGAGCGGCTTCACATTCGGCGGCGCTGCCAACAACAGCGGCGGCAGCAACACTCCTCAGAAGTCGCTGTTTGGCGCTGCACCCTCCACTGGCAGCGCGACGCCATCTCTCTTCGGCACCGCAAACAACACCTCGAGCACACCAGCTAGCAGCGGCGGCGGCGGCCTCTTTGGCGGTGGTGCAGCTAATTCAGGCGGCTCAGGCGGTCTTTTCGGCGGTGCATCCAACACACCTGCATCAAAGCCTGGTGGTGGTCTGTTTGGCGGAGGCTCAGCTACACCGGCCCCATCCTCAACACCAGGTTTCGGCGGCGGTTTTGGCTTCGGACAGAAGAAGGAGGGAGATGCGCCAAAACCAGCTGGTGGACTCTTCGGCGGAGCTTCAACTGGCGCGGCGCCAGCATCTTCCGGCTCTCCATTTGGTGGATTCGGCGGAGCAGGTAGTGAGTAGCTGGGCATATCTGTGACTTCCAACGCGACTGCTGACATGCCGTCTAGGCTCGACACCAACAGCTACGCCAGCAGCAAACAAGACGTCTTTCCTCCCCTCGACCACTCCAGCCGGCGCACCTCCAGGTGGAAGTCTATTCGGCCAGAACAACCAGTCTAGCGGAGGCACATCCTCGCTGTTCGGCCAAAAGCCAGCAGCAACCTCTGCATCTTCCACACCTGGTCTATTCGGCGCTGCATCCGGACAATCTGCCGCGAAGCCTTCAGGCGGCTTCAGCCTAGGAGGAAACACAGGCGCCTCGGGCGATGCGAACAAGCCCGCTGCACCTGCGTCTACTCCCTCGGGCGGCCTATTCGGAGGTGGTCCGTCAGCGCCTGCTTCACAAGACGCGCAGGCTTCCAAACCTGCAGGTGGGCTATTTGGCGGACTGGGCAGCAACACCCCCTCCTCGACACCTGCGAAGCCATTGGGAGGATTTAGCTTGGGTACCTCATCTGCTGCGCCAGCTTCTTCGCAGCCTACTGCGACCTCGGGCCTGAGTCTGGGTGGAAACAACGCTGCGTCATCTGGCTCTGCAGCACCGAGCCTATTCTCGCCTGCGGGAGCTTCCACACCAGCGTCTACGGGCGGTGGCTTCAGCTTTCCCAAGCCTGCTGCTCCCGCTAGCACCGCTGCAACAACAGGAGCTACGACCACGGCAACAAGCGGTGCGCCTACGACAACCGCATCGTCAAACACATCCTTGTTCCCCAGCCTAGGAAGTGGTTTGGGAGGCGGCAACACTACATCCGCTGCTTCTGGAACTGCTACCACCACCACATCTGGAGCCACTCCCAGCTTGTTCAGCAAGCCTGCAGGAAGCGAAGCACCAGCAGCGTCGTCCAACACCACTTCACAGCCAACTCCAGCCCCTGGAGCGACAAGCGGAAACAATGCAGGCCAAAGTGGACTTGCTGCGTCGACTGCCGGACCCGCACCATCAGCGCAATCACGACTGAAGAACAAGTCCATGGACGAGATCATCACCCGCTGGGCCGCCGACCTATCCAAGTACCAGAAGGAATTCCAATCGCAAGCCGAGACAGTCGCATCATGGGACAGGGCGCTCGTCGAGAACTCCGACAAAGTCCGCCAACTATACTCCAAGACCTTCCAAGCCGAGCGTGACGCCGCCGAAGTCGAGAGGCAGCTAACGATGATGGAGGAGAACCAGCAAGAGCTCGACTCTTACCTCGATCGCTACGAGAAGGAGATTGACAACCTCATGAAGATGCACGGTGTCAGCGGCAAGAACGAGACGCTTCGCGGCCCAGACCAAGAGCGCGAGAGGACGTAAGTTATATCTACACCCCTAAAAATTTGCCAATGACTAACAACCACCTAGCTACAAGCTCGCCGAAAAACTGCAAGACCGCCTCAACGAACTCAACAAAGACCTCACGGAAATGATTGAAGAAATCAACAACACATCGCAGACGCTCAGCAAGACCGGCAAGCCAGACGATCCCCTCACGAAAGTCGTCCGCGTCCTCAACACACAGCTTGCTCAGCTTCAGCTTATCGATTCGGGAGCCTCGCAGCTCCAGGAGAAGATCAACAAGGCGCAGAGGGAGGGCCAGCGTGTTGGTGCTAATGGGTGGAATGGACTGGGCAGTGATCCTTCGGCTGATTTCATGAATAGTATGCGTGGCGGGAGGGCGAGCCAGAGGTTCGGTGGTGTGTCATAGGGGTTGATATAAGGGATGTAGGATAGGGTAGGATAGGATAGGATAGTGTTTGTGCTCTTGATGGATGGATGGTAGTATGATTGCATAACAATTCGGCGTTGTCAAGGCGTTTGTATTAGCTCCTCGAGCCGCGAAGTAGAAGTACAACAACAACGTCATTATCTCCAAGCCCCCCTATACCTTCTCTGCCTCGCCTTCACCCCCCGCAAACCTCCCCTCCTCCTCCCCCTTCCCCCTAACCTCAGCATGCACAACACTCCCCTCCCTCCTCCCCTCACTCCTCTCCTGCCACCAAACCCCGCCCGCACACCACACCCCCATGCCAATACTAACCGCAATCATAGCCCACATGCCCCTCGTAAAATACGGCGCCATATCCGCCCCGTAGAACAAAATACTCCACCAAGCATTAATCGCATTACTCCCCATATTCATACTCGCTATCACCACCGCGCGCAAACTATCTTCTTCGTACCGCAGCACATCGTTCGCCCACGCGAAGAACGTGGCTTGGCAGGCGTACACGCTGCCCGCCCAGTAGTACATGCCGAAGTGGATGGGTGTGGAGTGTGGAAAGGCGAGTATGAGCGCAGAGGTTATGATGCCGGTGGCTGCGATCCAGTAGCCGACTAGATAACGTTTTCCGCCCATGAAATCCGTGAGGGTCGCCCAGAAGAGTGTGGATGCTATGCCGACTGCTGGGACACCGGTTGGATAATTGTTGTTCTGGGCTACGGTGTATGTTTCCGTTGGGTGGGAGCGCATGTAGAGTTGCAACAAGGCGTTTGTGCTAAACGATTCGGTTTCTCCGGCTAGGATCCACAGGATGACGAAGAAATACCAGTACCATGTGCTGAAGCAGTGTTTTAGGAAGGAGAAGGAGATTGGGGTGCGTTCGCTGACTTCAGGGACGCGGGATATGGCGAGTGCTTTTTCGGTGGCGGAGAGGTAGGGGGCGCGGGTGTTGCCTAAAGATGGATGTACGAAGTCAGTAAATGTCTCACAACAGTTCGTACATGGATGTTACTTGCGTGGTGTGTCGGGGAAGAGGAGGAAACCATAGAGGGCTACGGGGAGGGTGATTATGCCGTCGATGACTGAGAACGATGTTAATACATGTGTATGTAGATGTGTGCATAGAATTGAAAACTTACTAAACAACCACCTCCACCCACTCATCCCCCTCAACCCATCCATACTACTATGAATCCCCGTCTGGATAAACCCGCCTATCATCGTGCCAGCCAGACCCGATGCAGTGAAGATGCCGGATCTTTTCCCTAGCTCTTTTTCTGTGTACCAGGACCCGAGGATGTAGTGAGTTCCTACGAACGTGGAGGATTCGAAGAGCGCTTGGAAGAAGCGGATGGCCATTATGTCTTGCGGCTTTTGCGCAGCGGCTGTTACCATTGTTAGGCCCGCCCATGCTACCTGGTGGTCTTGTTAGGAAGGGTGACTTGTGGGTGGAGGGGATGGATGGGGGAGATGTACCATGCATGCTGGGAAGAAGTAGCGGGGTTTTATGTAGTAGAGGGCTATGTTGCATGGGACTTGGCCTATGGTGTATCTGAGGATTTGTGACATTAGTAGAAGTTTCTCGTGTCTTTTTCCTTTCATGCTCAACTCACCCAACAGTGAAAACAGTGTTGATTTGATTGAGTTGGTTGCCTTTGAAACTCAACTCTTCCCTCATGCCAGAAACATACGCATTGTTGAGGTTTGTGCGATCAAGATAGTTCAGAAAGTACATGAGACAGCAGAAAGTAAGGATGAAGAAGTCGAGCTTCTGCACCAGCTTGCGCTCGCCTGGCGCATTCTGGTCGCCTCGAAGATACGCGATGAAGCTGTTGGCCATTTTGGAGATTGTTATCTCAAAGTTGAGATGTTGCAGTGTTGACCTCAGCTGAGCAGAGGTAATGCGCCTCGTCGCTAGAGATATGAGGTTGCGCGACAAAAGACGATTCTATCGCGTCTTCAAACAATCGCCGTTATCAGTTCTGTATGTAGTTGAATCTCTTCGGGTGACATTGTCCGTCCATGCATGAAAGGACCGATAGACGCTGGGAACGAGATATGGGATGATAGTACGCCACTTATGCCTGACTCGGAGGCGTTCACAATCAGTAACCCTCACCGACGATCATGACGCCCGTGGTTGGATAGCTGATTGCCGGTATCGGGTGCTTGGGTAGGCGTATCTGAATCTCAACACGGCAGGTATATCCTCTTGAGCAACGGCAGTCTATCTCGGCCGACTGAGCGGCATGTCTGCTAGGAGTTAGTCTGGCTTGGGCGCGTGTAAATGCGGGGAATTGTAGTGTCAACGCCTTCGATGGCTTCGGTTCAGGGCCGCCATCACGTATGGACCGCGGCGCAGATGCACCCGAGAGTGGGGAGGATAGGAATACGGAATGGCGAAGGATACTCACGGAGATGTTTACAAATTATCCTTTCAGTTCAAAAGAATTCAATACTACAGTCTCCCATATCGGTAGTTTGGCGTTGCACAAAGTCCTAAAGTATGACATCTGAAGCGAACTGGGAGAAAGTTGCCGCGGGGAAGCGCGCCGCCCTCGCGGAATCCATTCCGACTCAATACCGCATACCCCAGGACAAGTTACCATCGGAATCACAACTCGATGTCACGACGTGGCCTAGGGAATCTGGATGGCTTACGGAGTCAGAACTCGCGATCACTGAGAGCACGGCGTCAGATATCCTCGAGAAGATTGCGTCGAAAGCATGGAGCGCCCAAGACGTCACGCTCGCGTTCTGCAAATGCGCCGCAGCGGCGCATCAACTGGTATGGCAGAGTTTCGTAGAGCAGAGTTGAAGTGGTCTGATAAGTGCATAGACGAATTGTCTGAGCGACGCTTTCTTCGATGAAGCGGTACAGCAAGCCAAAGCCCTCGATGAGCATCTCGAACGAACTGGCAAGACCGTAGGACCGCTCCATGGCCTGCCCATATCGCTCAAGGACAACTTCAACGTAAAGGGGAAAGATAGCACCGTAGGCTTCAGCTCGTTAGTGAACCAACCCGCCGAATACGATGCCACGCTGGTGGAAATACTGCGTCGACTGGGCGCTGTCCAGTATTGCAAGACGAATGTGCCTACAGCCATGATGATCGTACGTACACGCGCATATATAAGGAGCTGGAAACTGACAACGAGACACAGGCAGAGTCCGTAAACAACACATTCGGCCGCACCGTCAACCCACTCAACCGCAAAGTCACGTCCGGCGGCTCCTCAGGCGGAGAATCAGCCCTCATCGCATTCGGTGGAAGTCCCTTGGGCATCGGAACAGACATCGTAAGACCCGCTCCCCCTTCCACCTTCCAGCCAACCCTAACAATTCCAGGGCGGTAGCCTGCGTATCCCAGCGGCATGCACCGGCATCTTCACGCTGCGCCCCTCCTTCGGCCGCTTCACAACCCAACGCTGCCGCTCCGGTCTCGCCGGCCAAGAAGCCGTACAATCCGTCAACGGACCCATGGGCAAAACACTTCAGGACATCACCCTATACTCCAAAGCCATCGTCGACGCAGAATGCTGGAAACTAGATCCAAAGATGCTGCCAATCCCATGGCGGGCCGTAGACCCCCCACAGAAGCTCAAGATCGCGGTGCTGTACAACGACGGCATTTGCCTACCCACGCCGCCTGTGACGCGGGCGCTGCAGGAAACGGCGGTCAAGCTGAAGAAAGCGGGGCATGAGGTTCTGGTCTGGAATCCGAAGTTGCATGCTAAGGCGATTGAACTGCTGGGGCGCATGTTCGTTGCTGATGGAGGGAAGAGCGTGGAGGCGCTACTCGGTGTAACGGGCGAGCCGTACCGACCTGAAATGATACAGTACAAACACGCGAAGGAACTGGGTGTTTATGATATGTGGAAGTTGCATACGGAGAGATCGGAGCTGCAGCGGCAGTATCTGGAACAGTGGATGGGGGTTGAGGGACTTGATGGTATTTTAGGTAAAGCAGCTGAGAACCGTTGTTTTGTTCAATCATTCTTGGTCTAACAGTTGTGAATAGCGCCGACAACACCCTACGCAAGCGTAGCGCACGGCGACTTCAAATACGTCGGATACACGGGCGTGTACAACGTAGTCGACTACTCCGCCACCTCGTTCCCTTGTGGCGTCTCAGTCGATAAAGCCGTGGATCAGTATGCGAGCGATTACAAGGCGCAGAGCGAGTCCTGTCAGGCTGCTTGTGATAGCTGTAAGTGCCACTTACCTTATCCAGATTTCCATTATCAGTGCATCACTAATGAGCATGTCAGATAACCCTGAGCTACTTCACGGCCTACCAGTTAGTCTACAGTGAGTCTTACTATGTGGAGTTTTACTGGGGTGGATGATGCTAATTTCTGTGACAGACTTGTTGCGCAACGATTGGAGGAGGAGAAGGTACTTGCTATGACTGAGACGGTGCTGAAGGCGATACGGTCGTGAGTGGGTTGGGGCATGTAGTATGGAACTACTTTCAAGATGTATGCAAGTTATTTGTTCATTTGTAGCGGGAAAAAGACCCGCCTATGCTGGAGATACCGTGATGCTATGAAGCAGCAGACAAAATATATCCACAATACTGTAACGCCCAAACGCTAAAACACCACATACCACTCCTCCGCCAACACATCTTCATGATCCCCGTCATCCGTCGGGATGGATACTTCCCAAACATCATCGCCCATCCCATACGGTTTCAAATCCTCCAACCCAGACTTATGTCCGTGAACGCTCTCGAATCCAGGCCACAAACGTCCTATAGTATAACCTGAATCGCATCCTTCGGAAGACTCTCACTCGGACAATACGGACACTTGAACTTATGCCCACCCCTACTCAGCGTATCCAAACTCACCTGCGCAATAACATGGCCACACGGCATCATCATAGGCGGATTCTTATCGGTGCTCTGCTCCTTGGACACGGGACACACGAAAATGCTGTGGAAATGGTACTGACTCGGCAGTGGAATCTCGACGGGCAATTCATCCTGCGTCGTCCACTCGGTCCGCTTCTCCTTCATGATGGACTGCATTTTGAGCAGGTAGGGCAGGGCGATTGCGCCGGCTGTGGCGGCGATGAACAAGGGGGAGTCTGCGGAGAGGCCGAGGAGGCTGCAGAACTCGCGGTTGAAAGACTGGGCGACTTCGTCCCAGGCGGTGGTGTTGTAGAAGAGGCGGTGGTAGGGCGACGTGGGTATGTTTTGGTAGAAGGCCATGGCGCCGAGGAGCTGTTGGATCTCGCGGGCGTAGCGCTTTTGGAAGGGCGGGAATTCGCGGCGCGCGTAGGCCCACGCCGCGAGGGGGCCTGTGGGGGGTTGGTCGTCCGACGAGTCGGACATGAAGGAGTCGTCGTTGGGGGCGGGGGATGCACTGTCGAAGAGGCAGACGAATTGCAGCCGGCACAGCTCGAATTCTAGGTTGCTGCCGCGTTCTTCCAGGAGGGCGCTGCGTTCGCGCGCCCATTGGATGGCCGGGGCGAGGTTCTGCTCGTGCCGGAGTTGGTGCAGGATGTGGTACATGTCGGCGAATTGCTGTTGCAGTTGCTCCGAGTTGAAGGTTCCTTCTGCTAGGTCTTTCTCCCAGGCTTCGCGTATGTATGGATTCGGCGTGTTGGGCGTGGGTTCGGGGTGGGGTGGCTGGCGGCGCGCTTCTTCGATGAAGGTGGATGCTACTTCGAATTGGCCTTCGCGCAGGAGGTGCATGGCGATGGCACGGTTGATGAGCGAGGGGTGCGAGGAGAGGGCATCGTTGTCGGCGGAGGGGAGCGGCTTGTCTTTGAATTTCTGGAGATAGCTGTTAGGTTGGTGGTGTTCAGGCATGTATAGGGAAGCGCACCTTGTCCAGCGTCTTGCCATACTTGTTCAGGCCAGCGTAGATTGGCTTGAGGTCTTTGTTCACCGCGTCCAGAGACTTCTTGAACGGGTCCTGGAGTTTGGCGAGGGTCACGGGCGCTGTCTTCGCATCTGGTCGCGCAAGTTAGCAGGGTCCACGGCGGGATGTTGACAGACTCCTCACCCGCTGCGATCTTAGCGCGAGCTGCCGTCAGCATGTCTATGGCCTTTTGCACATCGTCGATGCTGGTGGAGAGGTTGGCGCTGCTTTCCAGCAGCTCCACTTGCTCGCGGAGGTCGTCCATGGTGTTGATAGCGATGGGATGTTGGGATGCCCTGGGGCAGTGGCTATGATTGTTTGGGGAGAGGGCCAGCTGGCAGTGAATAGCTGTTGTCTGGCCAGCAGAGCTCTCTTCCGCTGTCCATGGCCGTCGTGTTGGCGGATTGGAGTTGGCGTCGAGCTCGCGATCGCCGCATGGTCGCTGCAGCCGCGGGCATGACGTGTGGGGGACCAGGCCGACGACGTCCGCGCGCATGATGCATCAGCTCCACCGCATGCACAACCTCCCCTATACCGACGCCCTCTCGCCATCCAGATGCAGCGCCGAGCTCGAGACTGCTGGAACCATGCCTAAAGTGCCATTCCACTCGCTCCCCGTTACACTGCCGCCCTCGAACCGGTGGCTCGCGCTCGGGCATCGGCGAGACTCTGCGCCTACCTCTCTACGATGAAGAGCTTGCCTTTGCAGCGCCCTGCAGTGTATCCGAAACATACCTCACCGCCTCTAGCCTAACATGGCGCACCCACTGCCCATGTCGCCGCCGCGGACGCACACGGAGAAGGAGCTGCGGGACCAGATGCCGCCCCTGCAGACGACGTCAACCCAGCGCAAGACTACAGCCCAGTCCCGCCCACAGCCGCTCTCCAAAGCTCCTACCACCGAAATGATACCCGAAGAGGCCAGGATCAAGTCTCCCACGTCGCCTGCCGGACACCAGCGCTTCGTCTTGACCGACGTGGTAGCCGCGCGATACATCGAAGAAGACCCGACCACCTCATGCCACGTCCTCGCCCGTCGCCAGAAGATCGAGGGCTACGAGATATACCTCGTCGAGCAATGGGCCTGTTCGCGCACCCATCCTACCTTCCTCATCACAACCTATACCGGCAATACCGAGGACACTGTGCTGGCCACAATCATAAGCGTACCCAAGAATGAGGAGGAATGGTCGCCGCAGATGCGCCTGTACTTCAGGTCGCTGACTGAGTACCATGCGCGGAGGAAGGATACCCCCTATGGCGCCTTGATGGTTACAAACCTCAGTGGCTTTCCCTCGTCCCTAACTGTCATCCCCATCCCCGGAGGCGATCTGAAGAAGTATCGCGAGGCCTTCTTCGTCAACGAGAATCTGAAGAGACTGGGATGTTCAGGTCGGCTGGGCATAAAGCTCACGCCGCCAAGCAGTGCCACGCAAGCCAAGTTCCAACAACTATACCGTACCAGCGAAAAGATCCCGTTCAACGCATCCGTCATTGAGCTTGTGAAGCTCTGTCAAGTGGCACTTGTCTTGTTTGGGAAGCTAGAACCAGAGTATGCAGACGGGCTGCTGTGCGATGTCACGGAGAAAGCTATCAACGATTGGTGGATAGACTTTGGATCGGAGTACTACACAGTGGAACCTCACGATGGCATTCTTGGTCCGACCACAGTCGCTGCTCTGCTGGGTATGCTGATGGGTGCCCGAAATCGACTGAGTGCTTGTAGCGCTGCAGTTGCCAAGGATGTGTTCGACATTGAGGCCACTAAACGTGGTATCGGACATTTCCAGAAGTCGCAACATCTTCCCAGAACTCGACGCCTCGATCGGCACACGCTTGATAAGCTACGAAGAGCCTCAGCAAAGGCAGCGAGTAAAGAAGGCTGGGCCGTTCCCCGGGCTTTCAAATCCACCGTGGCCGAGTTAGGAGGCAAGGGCGGTGAGATGGTCATGGGCATTGTTGGGGCTGGACAGAAGGACGGTATCGCTGAAGTGGAGACTGTCGACATTGACCAGTTTGTGGAGCTTGTGAGAGGTGAACACGCCAAGTGGTTGTGGCACGGAAAGCCCAGGAAGACCGTATCCGGAGACAGCATGTTCGATCGACTTCCTGGCGGGGAAGCACGCTCAGCCTCCCCAGACAAACATGACCCTGCGCCGAAGCTGGTTCGCCGAGAATCAACGCTTGATCAACAAGGCATTGCGAAGCGCGATACAGGGTCTTCGGAGATGAAGAAGGCAGAAACCTTTTCGCCAGATGGCCAGGAGAAAGACAGCAAAGACCCATACTCAAAGCGGGCGACCATCAAAGCCAAGCTAGAGTCCGGTAGCGGCTTCCATCATATCAAGAACGCTGTGGGTCTGCGCACTCATGCAAGCAAAGTATCGCGAGAAGAGCATGGACGACACGTGTTGCATCGAACCAAGAGTGGCACACCACAGTATGCAGACTCAAGAACGTCGATGGACTACTACGAAAGCCAGTCGGACGATCCCTATTCTCTCATGTCGCCTCAGAGTACAATGGGCGAGGAACCGGCCTACACCAAACAGCTTACCGAAACCCCAGGCGACTCAGTGGTGTCATTAAACGACAACAAGCTAGTCGGTGGTCGCCACGCATCCAACCTACGCAGTTCCATCATCGAAAGCGACGTCTCCGATCAGCCCGATCAACCACCCACCATATCCAGCTCCGTCGCCGGATCCATCTACCACGGCGTGGACCTCGACCAAAACCTCCCCGTCGACCAAACCGCCCAAGTCCCACCCCTCCTCCGCCGCACCCAATCCGGCACCCAATTCCTCCCTTCCCAACCCCCGCGCAACGAAAACTGGTGGCCCCGCCACCTCTCCTTCAGCACAGCCGAAGAGAGCGTCCTCCGGTGGCCCACAATCAACGCTTCGGATCCCATCATCGACGAAGAAGCAGTTGCAGATGACGCCGACGACGTCGCCGACGCCAACAACCTCACTAAAACCACCACAGCCACTACAACCGCCGCCCTAACCACCCGCGCCACAACCCAAAACCTACACTCCACGCAACTAAAGCGCCTCCACACCCACCTCCACACCCTCTCCACCAAAGACGCCCTCTGGGTCTCCACCGCCCTCTCATCCATAACCGCCCTCTCCGCCTCCGCAGACACAGATATCCAAACTTTAGAATCGATATACTACCCCCGCCTCGACACGTACCACTCCCTGCGCGAAGACACGCACGCTACCGTAACCAATAACCGCGGTCAGCTTACTGCTAGTCTAAGGGAATTGGGGAACGTGGGCGATAAGCTTGAGTATGAGATTAGTGCGCTTAGGGGTAAAGTTGAGGATATCGAGGATGTGGTGGGCGAGTTTGAGAGGCAGGTTGAGTTTGTGGAGGGGAGAGTGCGGGAGCTGGACAAGGTGCTGGGAGAGAGGGAGGGGTGGTGGGGGTGGGGGGTTAGGGTTTTGACGGGGGCGGCGCCGGGGTGAGCATAGCATGCGGAGAGGTGAGTTTCCTTTTTTTTATTCGTTCTTTTGTTTTGTTCGCAGGTGTGATGGAAGACTGGGCGTTGGGGGTATATACCCGCTTGTAAAATCTTATGAGTATATCTTTTTCGGATGGTGAGATGGTATGTACATAGGAGATAATGTTTCATCATATAGTTAGAATATTCAATCAGATGTCCCGTTGCAACCCATATTCAAGAAAAAACATAAATCGTGTATTGGTGCTCTCACTAGGGTATCACATATCGTCTTTCAGCAAATATACCACTCCCCTCCTTGAGCATTTCACCTTCCAGCACTCTCCTCCCCGTTCCTAACCCTCTGCCTATGTTCCTCCTCAAGCAAACTCTGTTTCCGCACATACTCCATCACAATATCCTCCTCCGTCCTCTGCTTCTCCAAATTGCTAATCCGTTCACTCTCCGCTTTCTCGCTTTCTGCCAACACTTTCTTTAGTTCTGCGTCTTCATCGTCGTTCTCGTTGTCGTTGTCCTGCATCGTAATGCGATGAGGCAGTGGAGGAGGAGCAGCCCGCGCGTCCATGTCGTGATCACGCGTCTGGTCTTCTCCCAGGGCGGTAGAGGCACGGGCGGAAGAATGAGCGTAAGGAGGTGGAGAAGCATCAGGCGGACCTTGCGCAGCAGCACCACCAATAGCCTGACTCATCGCATCCATAACACCGCTTTCCTGCTGCGCACCTCGCGTCGAAGTGGCATATTCATCCGGATGCTCAGCATGAATCTGAGCGAGATGTTTCGACTCAGCGATAATACGCTTGTAATCCTCATCGTCCTCGGTATCGTTATCAGAACCCCACTCATGATGATCGCTGTCTCGTCTCGTCCGCTTGCTCGTTTCAGACAAACTCTTTCTGAGCGTCTCTTCAAGCGCCTTCTTCTCCTCTTCCGTCATGTCGGTTTTGCCGGCTTCAGACATGCTGGCTGTCATGGCGCGATGGAGCGCTGCTTCCTCGTCTTGTTGGGTCGGCGCGCCGTTGGAGGGGGGTGCGTTTTCGAGTTCAGCGATTGAAGCGCGGATTGCGGAGGCGATGAGCCGGTCTTCTTCGGGGTCGCCGCGCGAGGATTCGGCGACGGAGGCGGCGATGGCGCGTTCGAGTTCGCGTTGATCTTCTTCTTCTTCGGCGAGGAGCTGGGCTTCGAGATCGGCTTGTGATTGTTGGGATGGGGCGGTTGACGATGCGATTGATGGGGAGCCTGATGTGGGGGTTTCTTGCCGTCTTAATGCGCGTGTTCGTTCGGCTTCTTGTTGCCGCCAGCTGGGAATCGTTGACCGGATCTCAGGCTCGACACCGCGTCTGCGTGGGGGATCAGGGTATTGGCCTGGGGCGCTGCCCTGGGGAACGGAGTTCGTGTGGGCTGACGGCTGGGCTACTGCACCGACATGCGAGTCGAGTATAGCAGAGCGCTTATCCTTCCTATCCTTCTTCTGTTGGACAAGTGAATGGAGTGAGTCCATTTGCTCAGCTCCAACGTTGCGCTTCTTCTTGATACCCCACTTCATGTGACTCCATTTCTTCACAATCTCGTCGCGCTCTTCCTGCGTCACCTCGGATGCTTCATCGTAGCCCTGCGCGATACGTGCGGCGATGATATAGTTTTGCACGCTCTTTCCCTTGCTCTTGACCATTTCTTGGTAGAGTCCTTTCATGGCATAGCCAGGAACCGACCAAGCACCACCCATGACGCGGAATGGTACACTCATGATGCCGCGTCCAACTCCCTTGACGAAGCCGATACCACCTTCTTTCTTTGCGCCTTTGTAAGGATCCGTCACAATACCAGTGATACCATCATAAAGACCGAAGCCGAATTGCTGTATTGACATCAGTAAACATCATTCGTAGCGTTATAGTCAACATACCTTAGCAGCGGTTCGCATGCCACTCTGGAAGTCGGTAACCTTATCGACCTGTCGCACTTCTGCGCCGTAGAGCTTCGGTACGTTGTGAAATCCCTTAGCCACATTGAGTGAGAAGTCCATGGGTGACTTGAAGCCAGCGCCAACAATCCTAGCTAGACCCTTGCCAGTGTCTACTGCAGATTCACAATTCTCGGCCATGCTTGGCTTTGGCCCAGTGTTGGATGGCGCTGCAGACCCAGCCACCGATCTGGAGCGACTGCGAGACCGCGATCGCGAGCCTTGGGTAGATTCAGCAAATGCTTGAGACATGAATGATGACCTGTGTGAAGGCGTACCAGGAGAACCAGGACTCTTGACTGCTGGGTTATCCGCCTGTATCCGGGCTAGATCAGCAGCAGCATCGGCTGCTGTTGGTGTTGCGGCCCCACTTCTACCTGAGCGATCGGTAGCATCAGTCGCCGTCCTCGATGTTGTCGGACGTCCACTACTACTTCCTTCTCTGGTCGACGAAGCTTCGGTACCTGTGGCCTTTTCTTTGCCTTTCTTAGATCTGGCATCAGGATGTATGTTGAGTAGTTTGAGAGTCTGAATCGGCATATCAGCAACACCCATCATCACTGAGGTTGCTGTTCCCATAATAGCGCCAGCTGCGCCAGAAACTGGATCCCAAGGGCCTTCATCAGGAACATATTCGCGAGGGCGGTATCTACAAGTTTTAGCACATTTCATAAATCGAGCATACGATTGCTTACAGTTTCATGTCAGAGAAGTTCACTTCGCCTTGCTGGGCCAGTACAGTAGCCGCCTTAGCACTCAACTTCACGTCAGTGCGCTTCAGTCTCCACACAGCCGGTTTGTCTGGCATGAGAGCACATCGCAGGTCGTCGTAATTAAGCATCTGATGGAATGATTGAGCTCCCTTCTGTGTGCCGTTTTCCTGTTTGATCTTGTCGCAGAGCTCCTGCGCCCGATCGAGTGTTTCCGGTTTGAGGGCTTCGTTGATAGCTCCGGCGAGTTTCTCTGCGGTGAGTTCCTTGTATGGGATGGGATCAGGCCCAGCGCCGGCTCTTGAGACCATGGCTCCCCAGAAGGCTTGATCTCCGAAGAATGGCACGACAACGGTCGGCTTTCCAGTTGCGATACCAGCTGCCGTGGTTCCTGCACCACCATGATGCACGACGGCAGACACACGTTTGAACAGCCAGTCGTGAGGACAATTACCAAGCATGAAGACGCCATCTGGCTTTCCAAGATCATCGGCTCCTAGCCCGCCCCAGCCTTTGGACACCAACGCACGTTTTCCGGTGATCTTCACGGCGTCGAAGATCATTTTAGTCATCGCATTTGGATCGTCCACCACAATGGAACCAAAGCCAATGTATACTGGTGGCTCACCTCCATCGAGAAAGGCTGCAAGATCCGGGGCTGGTGTGTAGTTCGAGGCGAGGTTCAGGAAGTAGAAACCCGCGACGGAGATATGGTGGTTCCAATCCCTGGGTTTAGGGATCAGTGCAGGAGACCTGTGAGATGTGAGTAAAATTGTGCGCAGCATTTCAAGTATGCTCACCAGCAATATGTGAAAGGCACTTTCAGACGCGCGAGCATGGCTGGCGCCCAGACAGCGCTGATGGGATCCAGCCGTAGGCTATCCTTGCGGAACCTGTTGATGACGTCGCCCAGACCCTGCCATGTCAGCACGTCGACCATGATATATGACAAGTAGTTGGTGATGGTGGGGTCTGCATTGCTAGACTGGATGTTGGCGAGTGGATGCGGGAACTGCTGTGTAGGCGACCACGGCATACTATTCAAATCAGCAGGGTGCGCATATCTCAACGAAACCAGACATACGTGAACATCATGTGTAGAGGTATGCCCAACTTCTCGGCACAATGTATATGTCCGAAAGCGGGAGGATTTGCGATTATAGCATCTGCGACGAATGGTTTGCGCAGTTGCTCGGGCAACTGGTCCTCGATACCCATCCACTCTTCGACTGTCTGCTGGAGCGGATCTACACCAAGACCGTTACCTGTCTCTATGCAAGATCTCCATGTACCGCTCAGAATCTCTGCGATGCCCTTCCTCCTCTTGCCAATGTCACCACTGCGCAATGTATCGAAGCCAGGCATCAGCCCCGGGTTCTTCACCATGAAAGCCATGAGTTCAGCTGGGTCGCCTCCGATACTGAAGAATTCCAAGCCATTCTCGATAACGAAGTCCTTGAACGTCGGGTGTGTCGCTAACCGCACTCTATGGCCGTACGTATCCTTGAGCACCTTGCCCAATGCGACGAATGGCTGGACATCACCACGAGAGCCCACTACTTGTATGACGACGTTTAGCGGAGGTGGAGGTTGCTGGCCGGGTGCACCACCGAGGAACTCTGGGACGTATGGTGGAGGCGGCTCGGGATCTTCTTGCGCGTTTGTGAGCTGACGCTGTATTTGCGGGAGGATGAGTTGTGATAGCGCGCGGCTCTTCTGATCGATTCGGATATTAACACGTCCATCGTCGGCGACTACTGCGTTCGTGCCCAGCTCTTCGTTCTCGACCTGGCCTGGCAACTCGGTGTATGCGGGTGGTAGGTCCCCAAGGGTCGGTGCTTCGTAGGCGGGACCATCGTTGGCGCTAGGGGTGTGATGTGAACTAGAGGGCGCGCTACGCATCAAGTCAGTATAGAACTGTCGTCAACAACTAGGTAAGACCAACGCGGGTTGTGTTTGTGTATATGGCTGTGTTGGCGGGGCATTGTCGAGGGGCGCGTCATTGCCCTGCGCGGGGTTACTTGAACTCGCCATGGTGGTTGCAAAATAAGCCTCAGAAAGAAGGCATTGTAGGTAATGACGAAGCTGTAAGAGAGAGCGTCAGGAGGAGCCGCTACACTAAGAATGAGACGCAGGAGCTGCAAGCCTGTATTCCACGCGCGGGAGAGCATATGCGCTATGATGCGGACCTCTTCGGACTTCTTGGCGTGTGATTGGCCATGAATAGATCAAAGCCACAGGCGGGGCTTCGTCATCGCTCAGCCCCCGATGCCTTGTTACCTACTCCTGGGGTCTAGTTTGCATGTCACAAATTGCATCTGAAACGATCGACACTGGAAATGCTAATCTGGGTGCTGCTTGAGAGTGTTAGGCGTCCAACGACCTTCCGCTAATCCAGTTGGCTTGGATTATCAGGAACCGAATTCACCGAATACACACCAGTAGTCTGGAGGCCTAGTTGAGATATGACTGAATATATCGTAACGCTACCTAATACCGATGACCCAAAGCCACCTGAAGTCTGCCTCGCCCACTTGCCGAGTATATCGCAGTCCTACTGGTGCAGTCTCAAGCGTATCGAAGCGTATACATGCGTATTCTCGTGTTGTTGTAGCAGTCCACATGGGGTACTCGGTCCACATAGCAACTCAGAAGGCCCGGAGCAACTGACGATGATACGTAACCATGAGCTTCCACGCGCCGGGCTCGATACCTACAGTCCTGAAGACTACGCACTGACAGAGAAGCGCCCACTATCGAAAAGAGGTGCTTGAACCGGAAATCTACCTGTTCGCACACATAAGTCAGCCTCTTTATCGGGTCATGACGATACACATGCCTACCACAAATGCGGCCATGCGGAAACGCCCTCCCAAGAACGTTTGCCGTCCGCCTCAGGTGCAGTTGACTTTTGCTCATCTTCTTGCTTCTCTTGGGGTTTCTGGTATACCGAAGCCTTGCTGCTATCAGTGTCGCGCTTGGGTGCTGATGATGTATCGAGGGCATGTTTCGCAAGCCAGATCAGCTGCTCTGTACGCGTCGTTGCTCTATCATTGGCGAGGCGTGTGCATATCTTGTTGACAATGCGACCGGTAGTCGTGACGCCCTGCGCAGCTTGGAGCTCGTTGACGGCTCGGTCAACGTACCCGGCGCGGTCGGACGCTGAGCTGGAGCTTGGTCGTAGCTGGCGCTTGAAAGAGACTGGTGCAGATCTGGAGACAACACGAGCGGTTTGGAGAGGTAATTTGAACATGGTGACGACGGTACTGGGTAACGTGGAATGTTTGTCGATAAATGAGATCTTGGAAGGGGAGTTGAGACGCGTCTAGGTACGTGACAACTGCCGGCTAGATAGGAAGAAGAAAGAGAGCAGACAAGGTGAAGAGGTGGTGAAAGGGATACTAGGTGTGAGCTGGCAAAGAGGAAGATGAAGGCCGTTTCCATCTCGCCTCAATACAGGGAGGAGCTCTCGGTTATCGAGGCGCAAACTTCACCCATGTGAAATGGGAGGAAGCTGCGACTGTGCCTTGTTCCACAAGTTGAGCGATGCTCCTCTTCAACACCATCTACGATGCATTCTCAGTCTTTCTCTTCCTCGGCCGTCTAAATTCCATGCGTTCTCGTGCTATTAGCCGCGTGACTGGTGAAGAAAATCGCGTCAGTTTTTTACTCTAATTGTCCAAGAATCTGGAACTGATGCCATCTCCAAGACCGCAGATGTGAAAGACGCAAGTGAAAGCGCAGTGATGGCAATTCACACGTGTGGGGAAGGCGCGATGCGCGTTGTCGTTTCGGCTCTAGTGCGCTTGCCCTGCAGCAATCTCCCCGGCCACCCCACGTGGACGGCGCGTCATCTGGTGCGTCACGCGTCCCGAGGTCAACAACAGAGGCGCCAGACACTGATCATCTCGTCTATACATTCTCGAGATACCGCTACTCGTACGAAAGCTCAGTTTGATTTGTCTTGACCTTTTCATACGGCAAGAGTGGGATTCTAGGCTTCCAGCCCTATCTTTCAGCTCGCATCCACCCAGCCACAAGCTTTAGACAAGCGCCGCGCACTTCCATACCTCTAGACACAGACATATCTTCTTCTTTGTTCGAACTAATAGCTCTACTGATCCCCGGTATCATGCTGCATAGAAGCATCATCATAGGAGCTACAATCGTAGTTTCGGCGACAGCATGGAACACAGACGGTACGTCCTTTCACTTTCGCGAGTAACTAGCGCTAAGTCCACACAGTCCATAATCAAGTCGGCTTCATGGCAGAAACCTTCTTCACACCCGAAACCACGTCCGTACTTGCAGAGATCCTCGAACCCCAATACAACGGCTCAGTCGGGCGCTCCGCAGCATGGGCAGATGCGTATGCGCACACCAGCGAAGGCCACTTCTCGTACCAGTGGCACTGGATAGACACACACGATCGTCAACCTGAGAACTGCAGTCTAGACTATGCGCGGGACTGCGCAAAGGGCGGATGCGTTGTTAGTGCTATTGCGAACCAGACGAGGATACTACGGGAGTGCATAGACCAAGTGTATACTGGTGATTTGACGGGAGGTGCAAACCTGACTTGCTCTTATGCGTTGAAGTGGGTGGCTCATTTCCTGGGCGACATTCATCAGCCTCTACATGCAAGTGGCCGACAAGTAGGAGGCAATACGTACAAAGTGGTATTTGGTGGCGCTCACACGCAGTTACATTCTGTGAGTATCTTACACCGATAGCAAAAAGATGTGCTAACAAACAAGGTCTGGGATGGCTACATACCCTACTTCGCGGCAAACGTCGACCATCCCTTCTCGCACGAGTCTATCGATCCATTTTTCTCTGGGCTCGTCTCTCGTATTCGCAAAGATCAGTTCTACTCTGCGCCGTACATGTGGCTCTCCTGCACAGACCCTTCTTCACCCGAGGAATGCGCAACAAGTTGGGCGAAGGAGAGCAACAAATGGGATTGCGACTACGTGTGGAGTCGCGTAACGAACGACACAGATCTTGGGACTAACGGGTATGCTGCAGGCGCTGTGCCCATCGTAGAGTTGCAGATAAGCAAGGCTGCGCTCAGACTGGGTACATGGCTGAACAACTTGGTCGAAGGGGCCAAACCTACTGTGGAAGAAGAGGAAATGATGGAGCTTTGAAGTGACAATCGAACAAACAGCATCATATGCGAACTGCGGCTGGTTGTACACGTGCCACGCTGATCTCACATCATCTTGACTCTCCACATGCGGGCTCAACCAGTATCCGTTGCATATGCGAACCAGTGGCGTTGATGCAGGATGCCTTGCCTTCAGCCCTGCGAAGATGCCGGGACCCCACATCGGCATAGGTGCCATCTCCTTCCCCACATCCGGTTATATACTCTCCCGTCGCTGGCTGCATTGGCAACCAAACATCGAATTGCTTTGCCTGATTTCTATACAGCGAATCCGTTTGGCGATAGAAACTTGGGAGTTCTTTCAACATGGCTTTCGACGAGTTGAACGACAAAATCACACCTGCCGTACGTACCTCTAACGGCCCCACATCTGCATCCTCGATACTCTTTGGCATGTTCAAACACATGAGGTCGCCATTGGAACTTATTCTTCTTTGATGAACGAAGACATCAAATATTCAGAACCTGACTGACCATATTCCCAGAACCCCAGCCGGGAAACATCACCAAACCGCGGCTCCTCCGTCCATCAATCCATCGCCATACCCAAGCCATGCAAACCACTACGACAATGGCAGCAAGAACAAAACATCGACCGCGATGCCCAAATCAAACTCACAAAACTAGTGCACATGCGCTACCAACACCCTGATCTAGACGAAATCACCACATTCCTCCGTGACTTCGGCATGAGCGTAGCCCAAAAAGCCCCAGGCATGAAATGGTTCAAAGGCTACGGCTCAGATCAATACGTCTACTACGCACAAGAAGGAGAAAAGAAGTTCCTCGGCGGCTGTTTCGAAGTCGAAAGTTACGCTGAGCTAGAAAAAGCGTCGAAAGTCGCGGGTGCTGGACCTATCGAGGAGTTGACCGACGCACCAGGCGGCGGCCACATGATCACATTGCACGACCCAGAAGGCTTCCCCATAAACCTAATCCACGGCCAGACCAAAAAGGACCCAGGCCCATTTCCCGAAGTCCTAACTACAAACTACGAAAACGAAAAGCCTCGCATCGCGCGCTTCCAACGCTTCAAACCCGGTCCCGCCGCCGTACACAAACTAGGCCACTACGGCCTCTGCGTCCAAAACTTCCAAGCCGAAATGCAATGGTACACCCGCACCTTCAACATCGTCCCCACCGATTTCCTCTACATCAACCCTAACCCCTCCGACCCCTCCCTCCCCCAACAAAAAGACGTAGCCATCTTCGCTCACCTCGATCTCGGTCCAGCCTACACAGACCACCACACCATCTTCCTCTCCAGCAACCCCACTTCCCATGTCCATCACTGCAGTTTCGAAGTCCACGACTTTGATACACAGAATCTGGGGCATGAGTGGTTGGCGAGTAAGGGGTATAAGAGTGTTTGGGGCGTTGGACGGCATATATTGGGGAGTCAATTGTTTGATTATTGGTGGGATACGACTGGGAATATGATTGAGCATTATGCGGATGGGGATTGCGTTAATGAGGAGACGCCGGTGGGTTGGGGGGAGGCGGGGGATGAGAGTTTGGCGGTTTGGGGGCCGGAGGTGCCGAGTTGGTTTTTGGATTGATTGAGGTGGGCTTTTGGAAGTGTGGGGAGGGGGTTCTGTATGCTCAGTTCTTTCGCTCAGAGAACAGAATAATCTACATTCTGTACTCCCGTACCATCTACGATAGAATTGATCTACCACTCCCTCGCCCTCCCCCATCCCCGATCTGTAACTCCGTCGTTGCCATAATATCTACCACTTATCGGCTCAGTTTCCTGTGTTAAACCGCCGTCTCCGTCTCCACCTTTACCAAGCTGCCCAACCCCCAACCTCACCGGTATCCTCGCCCCCTCCTCCAACGTCTTCGGCGGCCTCCCAATCTGATTCCCCATATCACTATCCACCCAACCAGGGCAACAGCAATTCACCAACACGCCCTCGTTCTCACGTGCCAGAACGACTGTTAGCGCGTTCATAAGCGCTTTACTGACTTGATACGATTTCGGGGGCGTGCCAAACCCGGTGGACTCTTGGGATGAGGATTTCACGGCGTTGATGTATTCCTGAGCCAAGGTGTCGACGTCGGAGATGGAAGTTGCGGACCGGAAACGGGATGCAGTGGTGCTGGGGTAGTTTGACAAGGAGGAGGCGGTGCTGGATACGTTTACGATACGCGCGTTTGGTGTGGAGGACATTTTTCCTTCCGAGAGGAAGAGTTGACACATTTGTTTTGTGCCATGGTAGTTCACGTTGATGACTTGTTCGGCGGCATCGGGGGTTTCGTTGTTGTTGTTGTTTATACCGGCGTTGTTGATCAAGACGTCGATTTTGCCGCTGTCGTTGAGCGCGGTTTTGAGGAAAGATGTTATGGATGATTTGTCTGAGACGTCGAGTTTGGCGTAGCGGATCTCGTTAGGCGGTTTCGCTTGGATTTTAAGATCTACACCGCCGCGGGATGTGGCGTAGATGTGGAGGGGTTGTGGGTGTTGGGTGTTGGCGAGGAGGTTGATGATGCCTTGGCCGATTCCGCGGTTGGCGCCGGTGACGACTATTGTTAATGGGGATGCCATATTTTCTGAGAATTGTTCAGATTGATGGTTTTGAGTTGTATATCCTTCAGAAACTACTGCAGGTATGTTTATGTACCCAGATGTGTACTTGTGAGAGTGGTGATGTCAGGCGATCCATGACGTATCGATCTTCACTTGACCACATGTAGCGAGAGAAGAAAGGAACACATCAAAGGCACTTTAGTCAATGAGCAACGGTGTAATATAAACAGAACTTCTATCTTGATATGGCCATACAGCGCACGATATTCGAAAAAAACTCTGGCGACAGGACCTGATACCAGCTGACCTGTCCATCTACTAAGCTTTCCTTGATTAGTCTCCGTACTCATGATGCTGTCCGTGATGAACGCACGTATTCAGCACATCTCACTCCCTCCATAGGCCCCTTCAACATGATAAGGGCTTGCTGTCCAGAAGCTCTCCAATCTTTCCCGCCAACCACTCTTCAGCCTCGGGCCAGTCGTCTCGCCCCAGGAGCATGTTGAACTCATTGAGGTCTGTGCGACGCAGTTCTGGTATCTCAAGCATAATCTTCTTGATAAGCTCGGGGGCAGACATTGAACTGGTCAGTACTTCTACGATCGCGTGGTACATGCCTGACTTAGCGGTGAAGCGTGCTTCGGCACATCCGGTCTCCTCCATAGCCTTGGTATAGATTTGACGATAGTGGTCCAGTTGATATCCCATGCATGGGTAGTCGTGCAGAGTGAAGCAAGTGTGCCAATCACGGCGGAGAAAGATGGGAAGTGAGGCGTAACCCACGAAACGTGGACTTGCGAAGACACTCCAGTCTAGAATGCCTGTAACATTGCCATCATCGTCAACGAGAATATTATGGAGGTAGAGATCATTCCCCAGGACAAAGGTCTCTTCCTCGCTAGCCTCGGCGTTAGACGCTTTGGAGTTCCTGATGACGGGCTGCGAAAAGATGATCTCGAGCACTTTCCGGTAGCCTAGCGCTCTAAGGCGGTCGCAGGTGCCTGGATACAAGGTATCCAGTACCTCCGAATCTAGAGGCGGCCAAATCGTCCTGAAATTAGGAGTCAAGTACTCGATACTTGACGCGAATGGTCCGTACTGGTAGACCTGAGTGTCAGACTCCAGGTCTTCATGCGTGAGGTCGGATTCATCCTTCCACTGAGATAAATAGGAAACGCGGGGCGTCTCACTGCTCCCCCCATCGGTAAACGCAGGAATGCCAATGCCCTTGAACTCAACCTTTTGTAGCCCTGCCATAGCATTGGCAAGTGAACGCAATAGGTTCACACGCTTTACCTCAGTTTCCTTTGAGATACGGACTGCGGTAATGTGGCTCATGTCCGAGGCATCTTCGAACCAAATCTCATGCGCACGACGGCCAGGTAAACGCTTCATGAGTATGTAAGGCGCACCTAGGTTGGATCCCTCTACAGACTCTGCTGATGCGATGACCTCTGGGGCCGGAACATCCGTGTGCTGAAAGAGGTACTTCATAAGACCAACTTCATTTCTCAGATTGTGGGCGTCTCCCGCTCGCCAGCGAGGTTGCGTGCCCACGGATGGCACCGATACGACGTAGTCTTGATCACCCTGGTCTTTGTGGCGGACTTGAAGCGTCACAACGAGGTTCATTTCGCCCTCATAGCGCGAGAGAATTTCGACATTGGCACGCTCAAGCTGGCCGCTGGGATCCACGGATAGCAGGACAATATCCTTGAACTTGTCGTCTGGAATTTGTCGAAGAGGCTCCCAGTCGTGGCGTTTTAGGTTAAGAGCAAGGTGAACGCTTTCATCGTCATCAACAATGTAGCGCTCGTGGTCGTCATCATCATCAGACACTGGTTCGTCCAGGCCAATGCCAGAATTCATGCCGCCATCCTCAGTCTCTTCGTTCCCCTTAGGTCTAGAGGGCTGGTTTCGATAAGTCTTGTTTTGGTTGGCATGTTCGTCGGCTGGAATACTGTTCCGGTCAACTGTCGACTCCTGCGCGGTCATGCAAATGTCTAGATTGACCAACGAGGATGTTATCTTGTCCTCTTCCGATGACATGATGGTCTGAAGCAATGGTTTAGAGCTTCGAATGTGAGTAGTATGTTGAAGAGAGTAAGTGGCGAAGTTTTGGTTGACCTGTAAAGGATGTGTAGGGTTTCGGAAGGTGAGTAATGATGTGGGGAGAATAGGGGACGAACTTATACTCAAGAGAGCTGGTAGCTCATAGGGTGAAATGAAGCCGCAGACTTATCTGAGAATGATGGCGAATACTGGCCTGCTAAAGGTTCAGAGTGAATGCGGTCGCGTTGTTCGACAGTCGGAAAGCCCAGACTTGTCACGCCAAATCATACTGACACTTGACAATAGCGTGAATTCTGTCACACAATTCTCGACTATCCATATAGGGCATTATAGTTCTGTCCGCAAGATTGAATGCGGTCCAGGAGTGACAGACATAT